AGCTGACGGTTAACGATGCACTGAAGGCAAGAAATGATCCCCGTGCACCGTATGACCATTTCCGACCAAATCTAATGGCCAGAGATGACAGATCTGGTTGTTGACGGCTAGATTAGATTTGATCATTTCCGACCAGATATCTGGCTGGAAAAGGCCATATCAGCGCATGGCGGCCATTTTCGGCATTTCGTGCTTCGTTTTGGCAACGGCTAGTAGCGACGATGGTTGTCGGCGACAGGCGGCTGGTCGCGGCGGTGGTTGTCGGCGGCAGGCGGTGGCAGGTGGGGATGGTGGCCTGGGTGGGTTGTAATTTGTTTTGAATTTAAGGGTAATTTTGTCCAAAAAGTTAATTAATTGGGGTGAAATTGTAAAAGCTATATTCATGTAAATAAATTAAAAAATAAAGGCAATTGTCCTAAAATTTTATTAATAAGGGATAGTATTGTAACAAAAAAATATAACTCTGGTAATCTTAGAATACCTAAGAAAATAGAGGTAATCAGATTATCTCCAATATTACTAATAATATCCACTATTGGTATTTGAAGATTATCGGTATCTTATATTACTTGACAACCAAACATGGTAATCAAGTAATATAAGATGACTTAACCCTAATAATCCCAGATAACCCCCAACCAAACGCCCCTTCAATGCTTTTTTTAAAATTTTAAAAATTTCAATGAGTTTAATTGAACCTACGAGCCACTATATGATACTTGCCTGATGGTAGACGTGATTGTTAGAGTGATTATCTCATATTTTCTAGTTCTAGGCATTACCTCCTATTATTTTTATATTTTGTGATCTCTTGTATAAGAGAAATGAAGCAATAAATAGAGGGTACGATTTTATAGTAAAAAAGGTGTTGCCTTGAGGTCTTGGTTTCCTCCATTAAACCAATAATAATTAATTTATTTTTCCAGCTAACTCTACTCTACAGTATGGATACTTCTAAGGGGGCGTTTGGTTCAGGAATGTTAGATTTCTGGGAATGTTCGATTATTGGAAAGATAGATTAGCTTGGAAGATTACTGTGAATCTTTAAGAAAATATGTTTGGTTAGTTGGTGGGTATGTTATATTAATATGTTTGGTTATGGAGAATAAATTGGTGGGTATGTTATTTAAATTACTAAATTCTCCCCCTTTTAAATATTAATATAATATTATTTTTATTATTAATTTTTGAATAATTTCTTTTAACCCCCAATATTTCATATTTAGCTAAAACACCTCCGCTTATATAAAACTTTAATTTATGATGAAATCATCCCCACCTCCTGCCGCCACCGCGAACCATTGCCGGAAAATCGCCAGAGTCCCTAAAAAAGAAGGAAATTCTGTTTTTAAAGCTATGAACATGGAATCCCTGAACTTGGATTTCTACATGTAATATATAGTGTGATGAAGGTTAAAATTCCCTTGTATTACAGAGATCAGTAGAAATGTAACCTCCAAGATTCAAGAACCCAATTAGATGTTAATTATAAATCCAGTTCAATTAAAATGATTAAAAGTTTGGGCAAAAAGTTGTCAACAAGGTTTTAAATAGGAAATAGTGGTAAAAGTGATATTCATGAGAGTTGAACAAGACAAACTAAAGTAAATCTAGTGTTTGATTTTTCCACAAGAAAAAGCCATAGTCGGCAAGCCACCCAACTCTACCTACATTGACATCCCAACAAGCAAGACATAATAATTAATAGGTTGGAGATTATAATTCGAGAAACGACATATTTCTACTTGAGATTTAGCAAAATCCCAAATTGATACCTCTTATTGTATTTATTTTAAATTTTTATATTTAAATTAACACTGCTAGTAATTATTGGAGATGGTAAAAAAACGTTGAGTGAAGTTGACAAATGAATGTGTGAGTTTTATAGAGGAGGTTGTGATTAGTCCAACGATAGTCTCGAAAGTGATTTTAGACTTCGAAATTGGTCGAAGAAAGTAAAAAAACCATCGCGTAAGCTTCTTTTTACTAATATGAGTTTATCTTCTGCCAAAAAAAAGGTCGGTGTATCGCGTTACAGTGAAAATTTAAAAATTTATTAATATAAAGTTTAGAACATTACTTTAAAGGTAGAAAACTATAATAAATACAACCAAAACTATAAATTTGAGATTTTACCAAGTCTCGGGTGTGAATATGTCGTTTTCTTTTATATTTTTTACTAGTGTAGTGCTTATATGTATGTGTCTCACTCAATTAACCATGTCCAAACTAACAATATCTCTTATATAAATCCTGTAAGTTTTTCTCGACGCCATGTTCCTGTTGTAATTACGCCTGTGGATCCAACGACACGTTCTATTCCGACGATATTTAATTACGTCGTAGATATAGAAATCGTAATCCCAGACGTCATGTAGAAGTAGAAAGGCAGTTTCTTCCCCTCTCGAAACACATTTCATTATTCTATGATGTGACCACTAAGACGCCACAATGGACCAGACTGGCGTTTTGGAGAAATTGTTTATTATTTTGGTTTTGAGTTAGTCAAAATCCCATCAAAGCAGTGGGCGTGTGCCCTTATTAATGAATCCTATGAGTATTTTTCTTTTTCTTGTAAATTAAAGGGAGAACGACTTATACATACCTAACGTTTGTCGAAACGACAAGTTGGTATTTAAAAAGTTTTAAAATGATAAATGGGTACCTTCCGTCATGTTCTGTTAGTGTTTTTCGTTAGATAATAGTGAAAAGACTAAAATACCCTTAAAAGTTTAATTTTTAGTTTTTTGAAAATCTCTAAAAAAACCCCCTAGGTTTGCTAATTTGACTAAATACTCCAATATATAAAATTTTTATAAAATAACAAATACACCCCCGCCACCACAGTGCCAGATTTCGGCCACCACCGCCGGAATCTGGCTGAAAAATTGTGTTACGACACAGACCCGTCGGATCTGTGTCGTAACACACCGATGTGGCATTTTCCGGCCAGATCCGCCACGGATCTGGCCGGAAAAGGCCAGATCTATGTCTGGCCTTTTTCGGCCGCGACGGCCAGATCTGGCCTTTTCCGGCCAGATCATCCACGGATCTGGCCAGAAAACGTCAGATCGACGTGTTACGACACAGATCCGATGGGTCTGTGTCGTAACACAATTTTCCGGCAAGCTTCCGGTCTCGACGGCCAGATCTGGCTGTAGATCTGGTCTTTTCCGGCAAGATCAGCCACGGATCTTGCCGGAAAATGAAAGATCTATGCTCTACGACACAGATCCGATGGGTCTGTGTCGTAACGCAATTTTCTGGCCAGATTCCGGCTGTGGTGGCCGGAATCTGGCACTACAGATGGCAGGGGTGTTTTTGTTATTTTATAAAATTTTTATATATTGGGGTGTTTAGTCAAATTAGCAAACTTAGGGGGTTTTTTAGAAATTTTTAAATTTATAAAAAACTAAAAATTAAACTTTTAAGGGTATTTTAGTCTTTTCACTATTATCTAACGAAAATCACTAACAGAACATGACGAGAGGTACCTATTTATCGTTTCAAAACTTTTTAGGTACCAACTATCGTTTCAACAAACCTTAGATATGCATAAGTTGTTCGGCCTAAATTAAATTTTAAACATGGATGAGAGCCACATGATTCCTAAACCTGACTTCGATGGCTTATTAAGATAAGAATATATATATATATAACAAATAATTTAATCGAGACCCCCCAGCTATGAGGAATCTAGACCATGCAATAATTATATAAAAACAAATTAGGAACCATATATATTAATTTTATTTTTGAAACTTTCCTTTTCTAATATTAATTTCATTGACCACTTTTTAGACTCTCAATGTAAAAGTTTACAACTTGCATTTAAATTACTCCTTTTGAACCTACTCGGAACTAACCTAGCGCTGAGACTTAAATTGACGATCAAGTCCAGTGATTCATATCTTCCCACTTTCATCTAAATCAACTATTTTAATATCAATTTTTCAAAAAATATAAAAATTACTATCAGGATTATAAATTTAAAATAGTTGATACACTTTAGGTTGATTTTAATTTAAATAAATAAATATTTAGTCTTATTGATGGAAAATTCTTTCATAATTATTGTTGATGCGTGATTTTGACATTAACTAATCGACACGTGCGAAACGTTGATTGGTCAAGAGACACACGTGATTATGGATGAAATGTAGAATAAATACAACAATGAGAGCTTTTTAAAGTGGTTCGGATGCTAAGGTAGCAAAATAGTTTGTATTAGAATCGTGGGTCAGGTCGCAACAGCGGACTGACTTACAAAAAATTCGGGAAAAGTAAATACAAAAGTATAATGATAAGAGAGAGAGAAAGCTAGTTCAGAGTGCAAGAAGGCCGAATCCTTTTAATGAAAAGAACCTTCATTTTTATAGTGAGATGAGTGCAGATAACCATCCTTAAATTCGTGGGTTGGTGCAAATGTCAGGACTAAATCCGGCTTTACATCCCATTGCCCACATTCCAAGCTGATTTTACGCGATTTGGAGCAGGGAAATGGACACGTGGGAGCTCCACGACGCCTTGCATGCCTGACGTGTGCTCACCGTTCTGACGGGAGCAGGTCACCCCATCACGTGATTTCTCACGTCAGCCTTTGATTTATCAGGTATAACAATTATGTTAATGCAAACCGTAATTATGGGTGTAATGAAGACATTTTCATTACTGATATTATGATCTATTTATGTAAATTAATAAATAATAAGAAAAAAAATAAGCCGTCCATAAAAAACTCATTAATGGTTATATGGTAATTTCACTTGATGTCTAGATGACTTAGGAGACGAAGTCCAAGACAATGAGGTCCATTATCTGTCACATATCAGTCAATTTCCAATCCTATTGGACCATCTTCTTTCACAAAATCAAACGGCTGTTATACCTGCGTGGCCCACAGCCGCCACTTGATCACCATCTTTTGATGATGACACGTGCGGCGTCACGTCTTATCTAACAACACGCTAGTCAATACAATACATACATACAAATCCCTTCAAGCTTTTATCAAACAAAAGCCAGAGCCCAAAAGTCGTCTGAGTCTCTGTTGCGTTATTACAATGTCAAATCTCGCCGATTCCCGGCAAAATCGGCCGGAATATCCGATGCAATACTCAGATCCCACGATTCCACTCTCGAATCTCTCGGCCGTAAAAGCAAGAATGGAGTCCTTGCAGTCCTTCTTATCCCAAACGGTCAACTCCAACACGCTCATTAGCAAACAACAAATGGACATGGTCTCCGCCGAAATCTCCTCCGCCATCCAGCAAACAATCCTCAACGGCGCCGCCCTTATCGCCTGCTCCAATCCACAACCTCCCCAATGTTCAACACTCCCGGAACCCGCCGCTGTCTTGGGTAAATCGGTGCAAAAATTGGAAACTATAGAGTTTGAGTCGGAATCGGATTATGAGGTGGTGGAGATCGACGCCGTTGAGCTACTGGCCGAGCACATGCACTTTTGCGATATTTGCGGTAAAGGGTTCAAGCGAGATGCGAATTTACGGATGCATATGAGAGCACACGGGAACGAGTTCAAAACGGCCGAGTATTTAGCGAAACCCGATAAAGGACAAGTTTCAGGGAGCAAGAAGAGGAGATTTTCGTGCCCGTATGAGGGATGTAATCGGAATAAAAAGCATAAAAAATTTCGGGCTTTGAAGTCGGTAATATGCGTGAAGAATCATTTTAAGAGGAGTCATTGCCCGAAGATGTACACATGCGAGCGGTGTAATAAGAAGAGCTTTTCGGTGGTATCGGATTTGAAGAGTCATTACAAGCATTGTGGGGAGAGTAGGTGGAAGTGTTCATGTGGGACTAGTTTTTCTAGGAAGGATAAGTTGTTTGGACACGTGGCGTTGTTTGAAGGGCACATGCCGGAGGTGGAGGAGAAAATGAAGAGTGTGGTGGAGGAGGAAGAGGAGGAGATGGAGATGGAGATGGAGATGGAGATGGAGATGGAGGAGGAGGGGCGTAATCGTAGTTTGAATGATGGGTTTTTTGATGGGTTGCTTGATGAATTTGGTTCAATTGAGAGTTACTGTTTGCAAGATATGTTTGGAGTTGCTTGGAATGGAGGAGGAGGAGACGATTGTAGCTAAAGTTTATGTTGGTTCTGATGTTATTTAATTTTGCTGTAACATGTAAAATTCTGAGTTGTAATAAAGATGAATGTTGATCTTGTTTTATTGATTATCCACCATTCTTGGTATTTTGGAGCATCAACATACTCTGTCACATAAAAGGTTAGACGAAACAAACAAGCACAAGAATGGTGCCCATTGCCATGCCTTCGATTGGCAAAGACACCATTGGAATTACCTCTACCCCTTATTGTAAAAGACAGTCTTATCATAGCATAGCGGGGGTCCTTCAAGGGCGCTCTGGGTCCAAAATTCTCTGCTTTATGGGGCAGTACTCCTTCCATTGATCGCTAATGTATAGTCACTAGCTAAGGGTCAAATTTTTGTTAAGATCACAAAGTCCATGTTCACAAAACCTTGTTAATTACACTATTTTAGAAATCATAGGAGAAAACAACTATAAAAAGGGAAATCCATAAGGAAATCTAATGATTAAGATAAAGCTAATTATGTTGGTGGAGAATTTATCATAATCCTGAAACAATGGATATATATGTCTGGATAAGTTACAAATGTAAAACGTGAATAAAATATCAATTTCTATTGCAATATATGCATGATCTTCCACTGAGTATACATGCGAAACATGAGCTCAAGGGATAATAACTTGTACCAATATCAGAGAACGTCAGCAATGAAGCTTTGATCTCATGGCTTATTTAAGACATCAGCAAGGTGATATCATATATAATTAATCACCATTTCAGAATTCTAATATTAGTTAATTACTACTTCTATATATGGTGGAGTAGATCAAATAAATATAAACAGGTCAATAAAATGTCACGAGAGTATTACTTTTTTTTTTCATCAATCTCTGTATCACTCTGTCTGTTCTACTTTCAAAAAAGGATTTGAACAAGAAAATAGACTAGAACTAACCCAATTAATTATCATGCCTCCCGTGACCTTTTGACGAGAAAACAGATCTACTTTTACCCCACATGTTTGGACTGTTTCTCTTTACACATATATAAACTGCTGACAATATGTAACTAATCAGAGGTTAATGTAATCAGTTTCCTTCGATTGATGATGATGTCGATTTCTATAGAAGCCTTAGCTATGGTGGGCGTGGATCATGTTGAATGGGGTATGAATGTGGAAGAATGGGAACGAGAGGACTTGGAGTTGAAGCCCCCTCCCCATTTATTAGCTGAAGAAGAAGAAGAAGAAGAAGAAGAAGAAGCAGAGAAAAAAGAAGAAGAAGAAACTTCGAAAGATGATGGTGTTGAGTGTAGTAATGTCGGCGATGATACAAAAGTTAGTCGGGAGGAAAGATTATTAACGGTTGAGAGCATCAGAAATTGGCTCAGTTTTTTGAAGATCATCAAAAATAGAGAGATGGATGTCAAAGTCTTGAGCAGCACCACATTTGATCATCGTGTACATTGAGTTTCCTATTTATTTAGCTTTTGCCTTCAATTAGTCATTTGTTCAGATGTAGTGCACAGTTTTGAGCAAGCTAGTGTTCTTATTTGCCTTATCGCACAAATTGTTGAAATTCTGATGAGTTTTTTGAGATGTAAAATTATAAATATACATGGTACTGCAGACTGTAGTATATCTGGACTTTTCTATACAACTGACTTTGAACATATACGCTGAACTTGAATAGAAGACCAAAATGTACGTGAGATGTTCACGGGTGGAATGATAATAATGATGAAGCTAGAGGTGTAAAAGCCTTGGATTTTTCTCCAATTGTGTTCATACGGGTACGGCTAGCTCACATGTGTACTTACGTACGTACTCAGTCTTGCTCATGCATGCACAAGGCTTCACTATAAATACCACAATCTTAGTTTTCTTAAAGAATTCATATCATTAAACAATGTGTGCTTCGATTGAAGCTTTAGCAATTGCAGGAGTTGATTGTCTTGAATGGGATTTGGATTTTGAAGAATGGGCACACATTTATTACTATCTGTTTACAATGATGATCTTGACGGTGGTGATCACAACAACGGCAGTGACGCCTCTGTTCTAACTGTGGGCTGCCAGCACCAAATCAGAGTTATTGTTGAGAGAATTCTGAAACCAATTCTTGAAGTTAATAAACGTACATCACCATGAAGGCAGCTATTAAGTCGATCTACATTTTATATTAATTGTATAATCATGTTTTTTATTATTAATTCATGTAAATTACTCGGTGATTTATTTCTGGATTAATGCATCCATGTTGCAAAAATATCTTCTAATAACTCAAATTAATGCCTTTCACTTTGCAGAATATATACAGACTATATATACTAAATCAAATTAATATGATAAAATCAATTACTGAATATGATAAATTTCATATTGATCAAGTTTCGGAGCAGTAATTTGCAGTAATTATAAAGAAGTTAAAAGTTAGAACATGAGTACTAATACACATAGTACACCACTGGAAAACTGGTTAATTCCATATCACCGATGGTAGGAAACTTGTCAAGAGTTAAAATCGGGATCCAATGCGTCCAGCACATATTCACATGCCGCATGGCAGTTTCGGCGTTGGGGTAGGGGCAGTTCCAGTAGTGTTAGCAATTAAATGAAAATTACAACAGTAATAAAGAAATTACTTATAAGCATCTATATTAATGGCCCACTCTTTGGATAACTAGTGGTAGAATGGGTGTTGGGATGTGTAATTAAGGCATTCGATCTCAAGTTTGAATCCCTCTAACTTCTAAAATTTAAGTGGGAAGCTAAAGAGATTAGTTGAGATGCGCATATACCTTTTAATCTATGAACTATATGCTTTCGCACAATGTTTTAAAACTCGGCCTGACTTGGCCGGTTTAACTGGGACTCGGAAGCTTCAACGAGCCGGATTTATATTTTTCTTATTCACCCAAAACTCTAGGATTTGGGAGGATGATCGGCGAACAATTGACGGTTGGGATGTTGAGGCTTTTGAAGAGAAAGTGCCGGTGAATACAATGGTGGTGACGGAGTTGATTTCCGGTGAGTAAATCGACCAGAAATCGAACGAAACTGGCAACGACAACAACCAGCTTTTGCCGACGATTGGTGAGGCTAACGTAGGTGGGGTGAGGTGGGTTTTTGTCGGGAGGAATAGGGGAGTAATTTCTGGGTGACGAGGAGGGTTGTCGACGTCGGCGTCGATGCTATTTGGCTTGGAATGCCGACGCTGACCTCGATCAAGTCTGGCCAAAATCGAACCTATTTCGGCCAGATCTTGGGTATATTTTAAGGAGAATGGGCTTAAGGGACGATTGGGGTTGCATCTGAGGTGTTGCCGCTGCCAATCAGTTGCCGACCGATTTGTATTTGGGGTGTGTTTGCTAAATTTCAAACCTATAGGGACTTAAAAATTTTTAGGGGTGTATTTGCTGAATTTTAGAATTTTTTGTCAATTGGTTTGACCATCGGTCAAACCGATTAAATCAGTCAACCCAAGACCCGGCAACTTTGCTGGGTTTCACTCCGGGTTGGGTTTTAAAACATTGCTTTCGCATAAGTATTAAAATCATTCCGCTCTCTCCGGCGCTAGCCCCATAGATAGATTAATCAATTCAATTCACTATTGGTGTTCTATGAATATCTATCTACATTAATTTACCATATCCCATTTCCACAAGCATGCATTGCACGTGAAGGACTTTGAAATAAGAATAATGCTATACTTACTCACGAACTTACTAACCGTCTTACTCATATTTGTTAAAATTACATATGATATCCCTACTATGATTATGGTACCCGTACTATGCTTTATATTTATACCCGTTCATAAGATCGTTAGTAATCATAACATTATTGTTGAAATAATATTGTCAAGTTGCAAATGACAACTTTTCGATCATTTAACGTCGATCTTCAGGGTTGAGAGCATTTGCACGCCAGGCTGATCAATAATAACTTTAACCAGATCTTGGAAGATTCAGGTTGCAGGATCTAATTATGACCATGAAATTCAAAGTTCATAAAGATGATATTAAATGTTACTTTGCTTTAGAGAAATAGAAAACACTTTTCTCAATTAATTCTACTGCAGGAACTAAAGCTGGGTGATATATTTGCTCTCTATATTTTATCAAGGCCTATAAGTATTGAAGATCGTATATGCTATGCCTGGAAAATCAAGGGCTGACGTGGGGAGTCACGTGATGAAGCGTGATCTGCTCCTGTCAGAACGATAAACGCACATCAGATCTGCCAAGCGCTATGGAACTCCCATGTGTCCGTTTCCCTGCTTCAAATCGCGTAAAATCAGCTTGGGAAATGGACAATGGAAAGTAAAGCCGGATTATGTCCTGACATCCACACCAACCCATGGATTTAATGATGATTACATGCATTCAACTCGATATAAAAAGAGGAAGACCCCCTCATTAAGGGGATTCGGCCATTTTTACACTTGAACTCTCTCTCTCTAAGAATTTTGTATTTACTTTTCCCAATCATTTGTAAGTCAGTCCGCTTTTGCAACCTGACCCACAATACTAATACAAATTAGTGGACGTAGGACTTGCTACCTTAGCATCCGAACCACTTTAAAAGCTCTCATTGCATTTATTTCGCATTCTTCATCCATAATCACGTGTGTTTCTTGACCAATCAACATTACGCATGTGTCGATTAGTTGGTGTTAGAATCTCGCATCAACAGTATATATATATATATATGAGCTTTCAAGATTACATCATCCCTTTGATCACTCAGTTTTAGAAGCAAGATCTACATACGTAAAGTTGACGACATCAGCTAGCTTCACATTCTTTTATTGTTATCATAATTAAGTCTAGATCATATATGCTTGGACAGAAGAGAAATAGAATTTGTAGAAGATGATATATAATTGGTCAATAGGATGATCACAGGAGTTGTATTTTAATTTACTTATCGTATTCGTACCCACGTTCACGTATATATTCAACGTACAAACTCTCCCTTCAAAGTCCAAAGTTTTTATCACCCCGTGATACATAACAAGAAAGTTCTTTCTCCTCAAGCACATCAAGAACACATATAAATATAATACCAACCTCATTAAAAATTAAAGTAATTGAACTTTTCTCAGAATTTGTGGTGTTTTGT